GCTAATCTGGAGTTGGCAAGTAGCTGCCCAAGGATACATTCTAGAAGAAAGTAGTTGTCAGAGTAGTGCGGGGGTGCAGGACCCAATGTGGCAGAGGTCTTCTGTTTCACACCCAGTCTCCAGCTGCTCTCTGGTAGCAGAGGTAGGTAAGGGTCACCATCAACTCCGCAAATGAGTTATCTCTCCTTTGTGGGTCTCTGTGGTCCCCCAGGGAGACTGCTGCTTGTTTGTTTTTCTGTAAGGAGGGGTGGTAATATAGTAGAGTTGCTTTGTACATATAGTCAAAGGCTTTGACATCTAACCCTCCATTTCTCTCCTTATAAGTATTTCAAAGAAGCGCTGCTTTTAGGTTTAGTAAGGTGAGGATTGAGAATTAACTGGTGAATTTAGCAATTTCGTCATTGGTGACCTTGACAATAGCAGTTTCAGTGAACTGGCAGAGGCCCAAATTGATTGGAATAGGTTCAAGAGATTATAGGCAACTCCTGAGGAGCAAAAATGGAACAGAGGATAAGAGTAGAGCTGGAAAATGGTATGGGGTTAAGAGTGGAATTTTTTTAAGATGGAAGAAATCACAGTGTACATGTGTGTCCTGGTTGGAATGATCCGCAAGAGCCAAAACTGATGATAGAATAAAGGGGAACTATGGATAAAGAGATGTCCTTGAACAAGAAAGAGGGCAAGGAAATTTTCAGTGATGCAGTATAGCTCTATAGGGCAGGAAAAAGTTTTCCTTGACCTTTCCTCTTAGGGTCCCTGGCAGGGTCTGAAAAATTCAACTGACAAAGCCAGATTAATCGGAGAGAAGTATAGACATTTACTTACTCAAAGTTTTATGGAACATGGATGGGCTCCTTCATACGGAAATAAGGACTTGAAGAAATGGCTGTACCTGAAGGTTTTTATACAAGGTGTGATGAAGAGCGGGCAGTAATGTAGAAATATAATAGGACAAAGAGTTTAAGGTAAGTGTAATACTGGGAAACTTGGCAAGGCCTGTTTGTTTGGATTCTTCTGGGAAACAATCTCATCCTGGAGTTAAGGATGCTACTTTCTTTCTGGTATACAGAGAACACTTCTCAGAAGAAGGTCTTATGACCTGCTTCAGGCAAGAAGGAGAGGGGAAGGTCAGAGAACTTCCTGCTTCTGCTATTTTCTTAAACTCCTTCAGCTTAAAATATTCAAAATGCCATGCTGTCATATTTTGGACTGCTGTGTTCTGAACCCTGTTAGCTGGTTGTTGAACAGACAATATTAAATTATATAAATTTGCAGTTAAGTAAACTATATTTAAGAAGGTAATAGGTATTCAAAACTCATCCCTTCTTAATTGTATTACTACATTTGCCATTAACTGTGTTCTATTTTTTTTTAAAGATTTACTTATTTATTTTAGAGAAAGAGATTGCGAACAATTTGGGAGAGGGGCAGAGGAGAGACTCTTCAAACAGACTCCCCAGTGACTGCAGAGCCCTATGCAGGGCTTGATCTCATGACCCATGAGATCATGACCTGAACCAAAACCAAGAGTCACTTGCTTAACCAACTGCATCACCCAGGTGGCCCTGTGTTCCTTTAAAGAATTTTTTTGAGTCTACTTGATCCACAGAGATACATTAGTTTCATGTGTACAACATCTTGATTCAACTTTTTCATATGTTATGCTACGCTCCTCACAAGTGTAGCTATCCTCTGCCACCATACATCACTGTTACAATATCATTGACTATATTCCCTGTGCTGTATCTTTTATTACTGTGACTTATTCATTCTGTAACTGGAAGCCCATTATCTCCCATTCCTCATCATCCATTTTGCCCATCCAAGCACACCCCTTTGCTCTGGCAACTATCAGTTGGTTCTCTGTATTTATAGGTCGACTTCTGCTTTTTTTTAATTCATATATATTTTTTTACATTCCACATATGAGTGAAATCATATGGTATTTGTCTTTCTCAGTCTGACCTACTTCACTTAGCATTGTACTCTCTAGTTCCATCCATGTTGTCTCAAATGCCACAATCTCATCTTCTTTTATGGCTGTGGAATATTCCATTATATATATGTTGCAGGATTTCTTTTCCTTCAGTGCCCGTGGTTCTTGGTCATGCCACTTCGAAGAATGAAGAGGTAGACCAGACAAAGAGTGGTGGCAGCAAAGTAAAGTTTATTGAGTGAAAGTACAATGCTCTCTAAGAGGGAGGGGACCCAAGAGGGTTGCAAGTTTGATGTTTAAATCTATGGGATTTTATGGGCTCTATAATGTGGGCTGTTTTAATATGATTAACCCTCCATGCACCTGTCACCCAATCAGGTTTCTGTCCACATTCTCATCTACCAATCAGGTAGTTGTTCATGTGGGAAAGGGTGGAGGGCTCCTTCCAGGGTGGTGTCTTGTAGCCTCTCCCATTGGAGAGGGTGGTGGCCCCACCACTTCCATGAATCATGTTGGACAGCGGCAGGCAGGCCACCAGATCAAGCTCTTTGTTTAAATACCATGTTGGCTGGGGTGCCTGGGGGGCTCAGTGGGTTAAGCGTCTCCCTTTAGCTCCGGTCATGATCCTGGGGTCCTGGGATGGAGCCCTGCATTGGGGTTCCCGCTTTCATCCCCCCTCAAATAAATAAATAAAATCTTTAAAAAACATTTTATTTATTTATTCATGAGAGACACACAGAGAGAGGAACAGACATAGGCAGAGGGAGAAGCAGTCTCCATGCAGGGAGCCCGACGCGGGACTCGATCCTGGGTCTCCAGGATCACACCCTGGTCTAAAGGCGGTGCCAAACTGCTGAGCCACCTGGGCTGCCCAAATAAATAAAATCTTAAAAGAAAAAAATCCCACTAGGTGTTGAGCTGGCCCCCAGGCCTGGGTTAGGACACCCAAGGCCATTCCCTTCCTGTCTGTCACAGACAAGTTGTTAAGTCCTCCCAGTAGGAAGACTTAAATCTGGGGCATTTAGTAAAGCCTAGAATAATAATATGGGGCCTTTTTCCTTCTAAGGGTAGCTTCCTCTTAGGATGGGGGCCCCTTGTTCCTGCTTGCTTTTCTTCAGGCTATCCTTCGTTATATATGTATGTATATATATGTGTGTGTGTGTGCGTGCATGTGTGTATACACACAGTATCTTCCTTACCCATTTGTCTATTGAACACTTAGGTTGCTTCCATATATTGGTTATTATAAATAATGCTGCAATAAACATAGGGGTGCATATATCTTTTTGAGTTAGTGTTTTCATTTTCTTTGGGTAAATAATAGTGGAGTGATTGAATCTTAGGGTAGTTCTATTTTTAACTTTTTGAGGACCCTCCATACTGTTTTCCACAGTGGCCATAGCAATTTACACTCCCACCAACAGTGTATGTACCATACTGTTTTACTGTATTTTGTAGTATATTTGGAAATCTAGAATTTGTGATACCTCCAGTTTTGTTCTTTGTTCTGCATTGGCTCCGTTAGCTATGTCCTAGCTGTTATGTCTACTACATGTGGATGGTGGAAATGCCACACAGTGGTGCATGCCTGCGCTTGTCTTCCCAACTCCACATTTAGCGACATCACTTTGGTAGTTTGAAATTGGCCACAGTGGGAGTATTTATGCAACAGAAACTGCAACCACTAGACATCCGGACCTTGTTTTGATTGTTTTTTTAAAAGGAGAGCTGTTTGTTAACCATTTGCGAGCCCACTGCTGGATTCAGTGGACCAGTGGAGGGACTGGCCTTAAATTAAGCGCTGACAGTTCACTCACAGGAACAGGACAGAGGGCAGAGCATTTGGAGAAGTGGGTAGACAGACATGGTAGAGATAGGTTTCCTATTTAAGTAAGTGAAAAAGGAAGCAAGGTAGTCACCTGAGAATAAGGCTGGGAAGGAAGCGTTGAGGGTTTGAGGTAAGATGGCTATGGGACAGTGAATTACAGACATGTAGTTTGTGGGGTTTTTGGTTGTTGTTTGTTTTTGTTTTTTGTCCAGTGCCATTAAAAGGCCCGCTGAAGTTAGTGGTTATGAATTTAAAAGGAGGCCTGTTACAATGGGCGTATATTTGTCTCCAGTCTCTTGCAGTGGTGGGAGTGAAGCACGGAGTAAGGAAGAGCTGGATTTATCCTGGCCTATGGTTTTGCAGCACCAGTATGATTTTGTGTGTCTGTAGCAATCGAGATCATAAAATTATAAAGGTTAAAGTCACCACCTCAGTCACCTTCCTCATTCATCCCAGCTAAAATCGGGCCCCACGCCCATAACTTTATAACCTGTTAGCCTGTTTGTTTCCCTACTTTGTTTATTGGATGTCCAACCACCGGGCTCACCCCTGTACCTGGCCGCAAGGACCATGCGTTATTTACTACTGAGTGTGCAGTGCCTGCCGCAGTGCTTGGCCCAGAGCAGATGCTCAGTGAGCAATGTGTTGAATGACTTATTGAATACACGGATTCCCGTGCTCCTCCTTGCAAAATTCGTACGGTCCAGGGAAAAGTACCCACATTCCCCTTTTCTCCCTGGCCCCGTGGTATTTCCACTTTGAGGAGCACAGAAACTTCCTTCACACGGCCGGCTACGCTAAGCCATGGCTCTTTACTTCCTGAACACTCCCAGCGCCTGTGGGCAATTTTTACTGCACTCGAGAGGCAGCTTCAAGCCTTTGAGACAGCTGCCCGGGTCGTGTGGGTCACGCAGTTGCCGACCTTCGTCACCCGGGCTCCGCAACGCGGAGGAGGGTTCTGTTACAACTCAGGTTGCAGGCCGGGTGGTTTCGGTGCTTAGGATCGGTCGTCCGAGGGCCGCCGAGCCCGGGCTTAGGCCGGGCGACCACGGAGAAGCACCGCCGCCGAGGTCCGGCTGCGGCGGCGGCCCCGCCCCCTGCCCCCGCGGGCCCCGCCCCCTGCCCCGCGGGCCCCGCCCCTGCCCCGCGGCCCGCCCCCGCCTCCACTCCGCGGGCCTGGCTGGCCTGGCCGGGCCGGGCGGGGGCGGGGCCGGGCGCCTGTCCGCGCCGCCGGGAGGACAATAAAGTTTCCGAAGTTTGAAAAGGGAGGGAAAACAACCCCCCACCCCCGTTTGGCGGGTGTGGACGCTGCGGCCCGGGCACAGCCCGGCGCCCGGCGCGACGATGGGGGTCACGGTGGACGTGCACCAGGTGTACAAGTACCCCTTCGAGCAGGTGGTCGCCAGCTTCCTCCGCAAGGTACCCGCCGGCCCCGCGCGGCCCCGAACCCCGCCCCCCGGCCCCCCGGCCCCGGGCCCCGACCCCCCCCGCCCCCGGCCCACTCCCCCCCATCCCCTCCCTCCGCCCCCGGCTCCCCCAAGGAGCCCGCGCCCAGTCGCTAGCGCTGCGGGCTCCGCGTCGGGATGTGCGGGAGGGGGGCGGGGCGGGCGGGGCGGGCGGATTTCCTCGAAGGCGGCCCAGGCCTCCCCGGGACGCGGTGCGGGGAAGGGCCCGTGCGCAGCACCACGTTCACACGCTGCCGCGCGGTCGCCGGCAATGTTCAGCTCCGGAGCTGGCTGGGGATGCTCCTGACTCGTCGATCTTGCTAGCACCTCGTGGACCCCCGCTCCCCCCGCCCGTGAAACCAGTGGGAGCCGCGGAAGCCGCCGCCCCTTGCCGTGCTACCTGCCACCTCGCTACTTTCTCTTTTATGAAAGGCTGTGGGACTTGGGGCAGGTGGCTTACCCCCTCTGTGCCCCAGTTTTGTGATGTGTGAAATGGGGGAAATGATGGTGCTAACGCAAAGGTTGGTTGTGAGGAATCCAGTGAGATCATTCGTGTGAGGTGCTGTTGTGCTGATGTTAGGCCTCCGAAACGTTCCTACAGTAGTTGGTGCTGCCACAACCGCACCCTAGGCCCAGCGTTCCGTGGCCCTCCCGACCCCAGGGCGCCGGCTAGGCCTGTGCTCCTGGTAGTAGAACAGGAAGTCTGAGACCTGGAGACTCCTGGACTGTACTGCCTCTGCCTTTAGGTACTTCATTTGGTCAAGGGTCGTCTCTTCAGGCCTCGGTTTCTGCATCTAAGATAAGAGTATTGTATCAGATGCTTTTTCAAAGCTGGTTCCCCTTCAGCTTTGACGTTTTTAAGCAGGATTTTCCAGGATTGTAGTGTTGCCTTGGGCAGCAGCCCCCACGCCATACACTCCATATGCAAAACAGAGATGCTGGGAGAGGAAGTTAATTTTTTAAATAAGACCTGACCTCCATTAGAGGAGGTGATGCAGTTGAGGACTTAGGTCACAAGGAGTGATTTAGGACGCTGGTTAACATGGTGTCACCAGAGAGGCCCCCCCCCCTTTTTTTTCTCAGGAGAATGTCAACTTGCTGATACTGTTCATGGACCTTCAGTAACTAGAATAGTGCCCACCATCTAGTAGATGCTCAGTAAAACATCTGGCAAATGATGAGTGAATAAACCAATGAAAGCATGAATTGTGATTCTGCTGGAGTCTTTGCCTTAGGCCAGACCTCTGGGCCCAGATGAGAAACAGTCAGCACTCCATTTTTTATTAGGATTGGCAGTCTGGAGTGTGGATTCTCTAATGCCACTGTTCCCTTGGAATGCCATTCTGGATTGCCCTTATCAAGAGCTGGGTGCTATTGCCCAACAGAAAGACCCTCTTCTCATGAAGCTGACGGTCTCTAGTGGGTGAGACTGATGTTAATATAGGAACAACTAATGAACGCACACTTCCCATTGATGACGTGTATTTACACAGAAAATTCATATTGCTGGGACCAAATAGAGCAGGGAAGGTCTGCTGACGTCCTGCCATGGTAGCCATTAAGAAAGGCTTTCTCAAAAAAGTGGCCTTTGTGAGATGATGGCTGAAGTGTGAATAGGAATTTCTTAGGGAGGAACCGAGGGGGAGGAACTGCTTTTGTACATTATCATGTTTATGCCTTCCAACAGGTGCAGGAAGGAATTAGGACCGATTTCCATTTCACTGCCTAGAGAAACTGAGGCTCAGAGAAGTTGAAGCAACTTTTCCAAGTTCCTGCAGTCAGCATTTGGGAGAGCCAGGATTTCAGCACATCTGAATCCAAAGTCTAAACTCCTAGTCCCCAGGCAGTGCTGCCTGCCACATTATAGGCCCTCAGAGGATTATTGAGGGGAAAAAAATGTTCCAGCATCATCTTTGCTTTGCTCTGTGTCCAGTCTCAGTTTTTTTTTCCTCTAGTGTCTAAGAGTTTATTCATCTTGGTGGACCTGTTTGCCTCATGTAAGGGCATAGTGTAGATGTGTGGTAATGTGAGAAAATCCAGTGTTTCAGTTTTCTGTTGCTATGTAACAAATCACCCCTGTGATTTAGCTGATTAAAGCAATCAGCTAAGACTTGGGAGGCTCAGGCCTCTGTGGGTTAACTGGGTTCAGCTGGGTGGTTTTTGTGTGCCATGTGTTATAGCTGAGGTCACTTATATAGCTGCGTGCAGTAACAATGTCTAAGAATTATTATAAAATACTTGGCAAAGTGCCTGGTATGTAGTAAGTACGATATTTTGGAAGGCAGGGCTAGGGAAAGAACATTTTCAGAAAAGGCTTGGCAATGGGACAATGTGAACAGTATGGATGACACTACACATCCAATTTTTTTTTTTTTTAATTCACAAAGCAATGCCTCAGAGGGACTATGTGAGTCAATAAATTATGAGATGTCAGTGAATCCACTTGCTTTGAGAATTTTCACCTTCCATTACTTAAAGCCCTGCATTGGAAGTCAGTAGATCTGGATGCCACTCATTGTGCTTTCCTCATTAAAAAGTAGTCTGTGCCCTTGTGCAAATTAGAAAGGGGCCTCATCTAGGTGGTTGACTCCACAAGCTTACAGTATATGGGGCTATTGGAAAGGAAACTGGGCTGTTCATGCAAATTAGCAAGAGGGTTGTTAGCCAATCAGGCCCTTGGGCCAAGCCATGGAAATGAAGGCTGAGCAAGAATTCCAGGCAAGGCCTCATCAGGACATAATGTTCCAGTGCAGGGGAGGCAGGCCAGAGTCTGCAGTCTGGAGTCTGGCTCCCCAAGGAGAGGTCTGGGAGGGTTTGAAGGAGGCTTAAGCTGAAAAGGGATGACATCTAAACACGTAGGCTTGGGGATTTTTTGGTGCTTGCACACTTAAAGATCACTGCTTCCTGCTTCTTGAATTGCATGTCTAATTTGGCCTGTTAAATCTCACACCTGGACGTGGTTTTTAGTATTATAATGAAGGGAAAAGCCGGTGAAAGGTCATCAATGGGGCCCATCTTGGCTCAAATTGATCCAGTTTTCACAGCTGAGCAACCCTCTTAGGTGCTGTAGGGTTAGCACAGTGTCTGAAGTGGATCAGATCGTTTGAAAACTGGGGGGTGGGGGAGTTTGTTTGGAGCTTGTGGCTCTGACATCTGGCCTTAGTTTCTGATGGCAAGCAGCACCTGCTGGAAGGACTTGAAAACTGGGTTATTGTGATTTGTTAGCCTGGGTGTGGGGACCAAAGTCCCATCCCCGCTCTGTCTCAGCACTCCTTCCGCTACGTGGTTGTAGCCATGTGTCCCCAGGTCTGCTTGACTGGAAGACCTTATGCAGTGAGCAACAACCATAACTGTGTATGACAACCCTACTGTCTTAATTTTGTATCTGTGAAATAATAGCACCGTGTACCTCACCTGTCTCCCCGGATTGTTGTGAGGATCAAATGTGTAATAGTTTGACAAGCATAAGCTTTTTTGTAAGTGTAAGGTAGTAAGAACGATCTTTGTGGCTAAATATACTTTTATTTTTCTCTTAGTCTTTATGTATTTTTTTTTCAAAGGAAGGCACTTGGCAGAAGGGACAATCATTTGAGGATCTCTGGGAAGCATTTAATCTGATTTTGCACAATGGTATGTTTGAAGCTGCTTCGCACTGAGGATGTTCTATTTTAAATAGCGTCTACTGATCTCCGCCTTTTGGTATGTTAGGACTTGCCTTCCAAGTTATTATATACTACTATTTTTAAAACCTGAGGAATGTTTGCTCTTCTTACACCTGCCTGTTGGATACCACAGGCAAAATATTAGCTACATGCTTTCAAAGCTAAGTGGCACCTTGAAAACAAACACCACAGAACTCTTTGTTCATGGAATATAGTGTTTCTCAATGAACCCTTCATGGAGGAATGCTCTGAAACCCAAAATGGCTTATTCATCAGATGTTAAACTGTAGTTTCCATGCACTATATTGTGAGTGCACCTGACAGTGCATTTAGGTTTCTTTCTTTGTGTGACTCGTAGCTTTCCAGTTCTTAACACAGCTGTTTCCTTCCTTTTACTTCAAACCACCTACAAAGAGCACACAAAGTTGCATGGATGAAGGTAGCAGTCTAGAAGCTCCCTCGGGCTCTAGAAACTCAAGCTCACGTGGATCTGTTTACTGGGCTTGCATTCATGAGCTAGATTCAAACACTGCTCCAGTTTTGTCTACCTAAAACTGAAAAGTCATGAAAACGGAACCCAGAGGGCCATTGTGTTGACTGGATGTCTGTTTCTTCTCAAATGAGGCCAGAGAAATTAAGAGCTTTTCAGTGTTACTACAGAGTTGTTCAGATTGATTTTCTTTCTGTGCCATAGGCAAGAGTCATTGTGAATAAAATGTAAGCTTCATGGGCAGAGATCTTTGATTTGTTCCTGATGCATCCCAAGCACCCAAAGAGATCCTGGAGCATAGTAGGTGCTCAGCAAATCCTTACAGCGTGAATGAATGAAATATACTGCTCTGGAGTATAGCCCTGTGTAATTTCAGATTGAAGTTCGTGTGGGGTGCAGTTGTATGTCCTTACTTGTACTATAGTAAAATGGACAGATTAAAATAATTTCTTTGCTTCAACACAGTGGCCTCGGGTTTCTATTTATTCTACCAGGAGCCTGATGTACCGAACAAAATGGTTGGAGTGTTGACCCTTAAACTCATAAAGGCGATTTATGAATGGCTATTTCCATTTAGAGTAGCAAGTTGATTGGGTAATTAATAATGTTTCTGTTTCTGATCCTCTCTTTTTTTTTTTTCCCCTTGCGAATCTGCCCCTTATTTGTGGAGAACATCTCTTACTGAAAAGCTCCTGCATATGGGGGTGAACCCATATTTCCCAAATAAATGATCTGACAAATGATAATAGGGCTAGTTTAACATAATGGTTATTTATCTTTTTCCTTACACTGTAATAGTCTTTCTTTTATCTTCCTATCTTCAATCCTACTAGAAGATTAGGTTCGACATGAAGCAGAATGGTGCAAGCGGGAAGAGCACGGGCTCTGACATCAGACGGGGGGCCGGAGCGCTTCTAGCTGTGTGAGTTTGGGCAAGTCAGTTCTTTTTCTATGCCTTAGGCTCCTCATCTGCAGAGTAATATAGTAGTGACTGTCTTCTGGAATTGTTGGGGGGAAATTAAGTGGATAACCCACAGAATTGCATGTCGGCACACAGTAGGTGCTTTAAAGTACTTGTTAAAAATCTTGAGAGTCATCCTAACAATAATAATTTCTCACATTTATTTTATGAACCTGAAAATAAAAAGCTGAGAGAAGTAGTCTGCACACATCTTTACCAACTTGGAGTAATAAACAGAAGAAAGAGCATGAATAACGGTGCACATTTGAATTATGACTTATTTTTTAAATGTCATTTAAATGATGTTAAAGGGTACTTGGACACTTATCTAATGGTGGTTGTGGCTTAATCAGTTTATGAAAGGTAGGGCCAGTTTTTTTTTAAATATATATATATTTTAATTTATTCATAAAAGATACACAGAGGCAGAGGGAGAAGCAGGTTCCCTGCAGGGAGCCTGATGCGGGACTCAATCCCAGGACTCTGGGATCACACCCTAATCCAAAGGCAGACGCTCAATCACTGAGCCACCCAGGCATCCTGGTAGGGCAAGGTTTTTAACTACCAAAGTACTAACAGGAAAATTTTCATAAGTCTACTAATGGACATTTGTAATAAGTCTGTTTATCATTTTGCTCCTGGAAGAAGGAAGAGGTAAATAAAACATGGCCCAGCCTTCAGGGAGCTCACTGTCAAGGGGACAGAGGGAAATATGTTAATTTTTATGATAAATGCTTTCTCAGGGGCATGTTATAGACATAGAGTGTGGGGCAAGGTTCATATTTTTTTTTTTTATAAGGTTTTAAGTAATCTCTACCCCATGGTGGAGCTCAAATTCACGACCATGAGATCTAGAGTCACTTGCTTCAATGACTCAGCCAGGCACCCCATATTTTAATTACAAATATATGAGAGCTTTTAGAGTATTTAGAAAGGGTTTATTGCCTTCTTAAAAAAGTAAATATTCTTTCTAGTACTCCTCCTTCTCTGACGCGATGCCTTCCCTAATGCTAGTAGAGAGGGATGTGTCAGGAGCTCTTGTCACACAGACTCTGAATTGGTAAAGCATGAGCGTGTGGAGTTTTACTATTCTGGAAAAAAATGTCTTCTAATAATTTTTAGATTTATAAATTAAGTATATTTGGTTTGCAGGAGGATACTAGGAGTATACTTAATGCTACACCACAGTAAATTGCAAGATAAAAGCTGAAGTTCTGAAACTAAGTCTTTAAAAATGTTGATTTCATTCTTCAGAGGCAAAAAACCGCTACTATTTATTGAGAATTTGCAAGGTGCTAAGGTGTTAAGGTGTTACACTTTACATAAAATTATTCCTTTTAATTTCTATAATAGCTCTTTGAGAGGAGTTTTTTTCCCCTATAATTTTATAGATGAAGAAACTAAGGCAGGCTGAAATTGAAATAATTGAGGGGCACCTGGGTGGCTCAGTTGCTGAGATTCTGCCTTTGGCTCAGATCGTGATCCTGGGGTCCTGGAATTGAGTCCTACACCAGGCTTTCCACAGGGACCCTGCTTCTCCCTCTGTGTCTCTCTGTGTCTCTCATAAATAAATAAATAAAAAATTTAAAAATAAAATAATTTGCCGAAGACTCCCACAGATGGACTTCAGACTGAGGGCTCTGGGATTCTAAAACTCATTCTGTTTTCAGCACTCTTTATTGTCATTTTCATTTTGTTTTTCAGTTCTTAACTTTCAGAAATGCAGTTGACCCTAAACAGCATGACATTTGTGTCCTTTTGACCCCCTGAAGACTTAACAATGAGTAGCCTGCTATTGGCTGAAGCCTTGCTGATGACATGAATAGTTGATTAACACATATCTTATATATATTGTGTAATGTATTTTGATGGTAGGAAAGCTAGAGGGAAAAATATTAAGAAAATCATAAGGAAGAGAAAATGCATTACAATACTGTACTGTATTGGAAAAAAATCCACATGGAAGAGGACCCACGCAGTTCAAACCTATGTTGTTCAAGGGTCAACAGTAATCTGACTTATAAAATCTTGCAAAACAGACAAAGAATTCGAGAATATCCTTTACCCAACTTTCCTGAACCACTGTATAATTTTAAAAACCAGGGAATTAGCATTGATACAATGCGAATTTGTCATTGGCCTTATTCAAATTTGGCAGTAGTCCACTAATACCATTTTTCTAGTCTAGGAGTCAGTCCAGGATCCCACACTGCATTTAGTTGTCATGTCTTTTTGTCTTTGTCTCTTCCAATGTGGGACAGTTCCTTTCTCCTTTTTTTTTTTTTTTGGTCTTTCTGGACCACGGTACTTTTGAAGGGAACTGGTCAGTTATTCTGTAGACTTTGTGTCTTTAAATGCATTTGGTTTATGCTCGCATTTAACATTGAGCTTGTAGGTTTTCCTTTGTGTCATAATTATGACAGGAGCTGCCTCCTTTAAAAAACATTATGTCATTGCCAATTATTAGGACTTTTTTTTTTTTTAAGATTTTATTTATTTATTCATGAGAGACACAGGCAGAGGGAGAAGCAGGCTTCCTGTTGGAAGCCTGACGTGGGATTCCATCCTAGGACCCCGGGATTACGCCCTAAACCGAAGGCAGATGCTCAACCACTGAGCCACCTAGGGGCCCCTATTAGTACATTTTTGAATGAATAAGGGTGATGTGACATTGTTGGCCTTGTCCCAGCCAGAAGGGCTTTGAATATCCTCTGATGGTCCACCTCCCTGGCTTCATAGATGCAGCATCATCTGTATGTCTTGGCTCCTTGTCCTTTGTTCTTTCTACTTCATCCTCCTACTGGTCTGAAAGGCTAGGGAACAAGTATTCAAAATTTATTGACTTATATATGTTTTGTCCTGGGTCATTGAAATTTTGATTAATCGAGGATTCATTTGATCTTGGTATAAAATCAACTTTGCTTTCCTCTAAGGTATGCTATTGCATGTAGCTCATAAATTTGGCACAATCCATAGTGATTTCTTGGTGTAGCTAAGGCCACATCTCTTTTCAGCAGCTCCACCCATGCACATGCATGTTTAAAAATAGCCTGAGGAACAAAGATTCTCGTAGTGCTTATAAAACAGAAATATTAACTTACAGATTTATTTTAGGTCCTTTGGCCTTTGTAGGACTAATTGTACAGATTTGTCAGCTCAGGTGCTTCCTTGTGCGCTCTTTGATAATGCCATTTGGAAGTTGGTAAACACGGGCTCCTTTGGAAGCCATTGACTCTTTTTTGGGGGATGGGTATTATAAAAGGCAGACATTGACTTCTGAGCTTTTGACAAGTTGATATTTTAAAAACTCTTCACTCTTAAGAGTAGGCCTTGTGAAAGCTTGATACCTTTCCCTTGTAAATAAGGAAGGTAACTATCTTCATAAAGCTCCTCCCACAAATATATTGACTATTATTTCTGTAATTAGATGGACTCAATTTCTTGGCCTCTCACTTGTCCTAGCTCTCTGTTTGTCTTAATGTATATTTTCCTTTTTATCTGGTATTTTGTAATTTGGGGCCTCTTACCTTTCGTTTATTTCTTTAGGTCTCTTTTAATATGTAAAATGTAAATGAAAGCAGGGTAACGTCATCATTGTAGAGGAGTCTACATTTTACCCTTGTTAGATATTTGCAACAGATTTATATCTTGGGGAACGAAAAATGAGTTCATTTATACATTCTGTAAGGAAGTAAAATAATCAGTAAGTTCAAAATGAAGTCGAATATACCTTGGAAAATCCCGCAAGTCCCTCAGAATATATGGCACACGTTGTGAATATACATGGCTCTATGTAGTGATTCTTATGCTGCTACAGTTTGTGATTCACTGAGCCAGGTCCAGGGACAGCAAGCATTTTGACAGATAATCTGGGTATTTAGACCACTTTGTTTCTGTGAGAGTTCCTAGTGTGGAGGGGGATTGAAAATCTGTGTGACCCTGCTTGTGTGCAGTCTTGACACCATTTCTGTTTTTAGCTTAGCGCAGACACCTTATCTTAATAGTTAGTAGTTAATAGGTTTACTCCTTTAGTGGAGTACTAAATGAGAGTACTAAATGCATGTGAGGGCCTCTAATACCTGGTGCAGGAGATCAGTGGATATAAGTCTTTGATGGTCTGATCCTGACCTAGCTTGGTCTTTCCATTGTCACACTATGTTTGAAAAGGTGTCCAGAGAAACCTGTCCACTGCTTCTTGTCTTCTCAGATCCACATTCCTGGTGATCACCCTCCCTGAGAGCCTTCCCTCTCTCAATCCCTCATTTTCTGACTTTAGAAAAAGGTTTCTGAATTAAATCATGAATATTGAAGTTACCACAAGATGGCATCAGATCATTTCAAGTAATATCAGGTAGGGGGAGCCTCTGCACAATAAATCTTTAATTTAAAAAATTAGAATGTATGCCTTTCATGTCATGTTATTTAGCTATTATAAACAGACCTCTTATTTCTTTTCTCATTCTCATGTGGAAACATGAGGCTTGTGTCTATTCAACTCCCAAAAGTAGTTGGGTAGGAAAATGATTTGAATCATGCAGATGATTTGACTATAGTGAATGGTTCAGGATCTCTTGTGTTGAGCTAAAACCTTCATTTTTCTTATTATTTACAAGCATTGGCTAGTCGGAGACCCTTAGGTATTTTACAGTGATCCCTCTCCACAATTTCCCGTCTCCCTATTATCCTTTAGTCGGACTTATTTTCTCCTGACATGTTTATTTTTTTGTTTGTTTCCCCAACTAACATGTAAACTCTGTAAGAGGCTACAGTTTGGTTCGTCTCATTACTATATCCTCAGTGCCTTGAACAGTGCCTGGCATGGTAGGTACTCAAAACCTCTTAAGCGAAGAATGAATACAAAAGTTTCAGTATTGTTTCAATCAATGCCCTTTGGCTTAATAAGCAAATCTTAAAATTATGTAAAAGTGTGAAGTTTCTGAGTTTATATTCTTCAGGAATTTCACTGATAACTTAGTGAAGTAATCAGAACTTGAAAGCTTTTATCACTATCCTTCTCTGGTGATTACATTTCAGATCTCTTCCATAATTTAGTTCAGTAATCTAACTACAACTTACAGTATATTTGTAATATTCAGTCAGGAAATATTGATGAATATGAAATGAGCAACCTAAGACTAGTAAAGGAAATAGTTCATTTTACCATAGAATGAAAGTTTTTATTCTCTCTCTCTCTCTCTCTCTCTCTCACACACACACACACACACACACACACACACGCACACTTCGGGGGATCTGTGTGAGGCTGGGAAATCTTCCTTGCTTCTATTGAGGCCCCTTGCCAAGTAGCAGAGTAGCTAAACCTGGCCCTCCCTAGCGGACATTATCTGAAGGGTAAACTTCAAGAAAGCAGTCATCATAATTTTGAGCATTTTTTTTTCTGGAGCAAAAATGAATGAATGAATGAATGAACGAATACCTGAAAATCCATTTTGTGATTAGTTCTCAAGATTGCAATCGCCAGAATGGAAGTGTGAATGACAGAGTTTCTGGCCTGGGGCATGATGAAGTGTCAAGACTTCTTGAGGACTGACCATCTGTGCTCTCTTCACAGATGGGTCCCCAAGCACAGTGAATTTTATTTTCCAGATCAACCCCTGAGGTCAGCGAGGTTCATCTTCCTAATCATTCGTTCAGCAAAAATTAACTGAGTGCTTACTATGTGCCACCCACTGTGCTATGGTAGAGATATGGGAGTCACTGAAATAGATCATATTCCTATTCTAACAGAACCTGTGCTCTAATCCAGTGTCCTTTGGGGCCCTAGATATTTTTAATATGTGTGAAAGTAGTGGACCCTTTTCTCTGAAGATCAACTGGTTAGCCAACCTCTCTCTCACATACGCACACACACATGCATGCATACTGGTAGCTGAGCTGGGGGAGACCCACACTCCCTGAATCGCATTTACCACTTCCTTGGGTTCCAAAGACTTGAAGCTCAAGTTCACCAAGTGGAGAGTCCCTCCTCTCCTGCTCCTTAGCCTGTTGACTGCTTTTACTCCCCCTTAACACTTCCTGATGTCTTGGACAAGACTTTCCTGTCATTTTCTTCTCAGGTTTGGTCACATGATGTAGCAGTGTAAACTTCTGGACAAAGAGCCCAAGGGGTGCTCAGCAGGCTTGGATCAGGAGCCTCCTTGTCCTATGGCTTTCAGGAAGTCACTTCCATGCAAGAGAAAGGATTGGATTTGAGTAATTCTGAGGTGATTTAAGGGTAGGTTAGGTAGACAGGCTTAGAATGCAATAGAAAACATCTATGGGTAAGTTACAGTCTCAGTGGTCTTTAGCTGGGTGATTTTGCACAAATTACTTAGCTTATCTGGGCCTTGTTTTTCCCGTGTGAAACAGAAAAAGTAGCATATACCTCATGGTATTAATTTGAGAATTAAACTGAAATAACATATGTAAACTGCCTAAGACAAAAATGGTAGCTTTTTTTCAGCCTTGTTCTATCCAAATCGTCTTTCAGGGGAATTAGTAGATAAACGATTTATTGAGCACCTGGAGTAGACTGCTTCTGTAATTGTTCTCCTGTGATGCCAACCCAGCTGCCAGGAGATGGTATACAATCATAGCGAAAGGTTCACTTTGTTTTAGGCCTGGTTTAATTTCACGGCTCTGCCACTGACTAGCTGGGTGATCCTAGACTCTGTGATCTTTATTCAGTTTCCATTTCTGACAGATGAGACAATGATAACACGTGACCCAGTCACAGCAGAGAGGCTGTTTGGGGAGTTAAACAGGAGTGTGTAAGTAAATAAAGCATGTAGCACAGTGTGTGGCATAAAGGACACTCTTCATTTATGTAAGGCTGGTTCCAAAATTAACCTAGTTTAACCTCACCCTCCCTCCTCTGGCCAGGGTTAGGTTGGATCTCAAGAAGGTTTTCCCTGGATTTATACAGGTCCAGTTGATGATAGCTTCCTGCTTATCTAGGCCTAAGTAGTAAAGTGAAGAGCCTTGATTAAAAACTGGCCTTAGAGGTTGCTTGGAAAATATGTACTGTTCCTGCAAATTACTCTGGTTTCTGGGAAATAATTCACTTTGGTAAAAGATGAATGGTAATTCTTCTTTATGTGTTTTCATTTAGTATCCCAACCCCATGGATAAAAATGTCATCTCTGTAAAAATTGTGGAGGAGAAAAGAGGTAAGTTCTCTAAATATACCTCACTTCAGTGATGATCATTAAGTGATACTGATTTTTGTACAGGTGTTTGTGTGTGTAATCTGTTCCTTTTTTTAAAAAAAAGATTTTATTTATTTATTCGTGAGAGACACAGAGAGAGGCAGCGACACAGGCAGAGGGAGAAGCAGGCTCCCTGTAGGGAGCCCGATGTGGGACTCGATTCCAGGACCCCGGGGTCACGACCTGAGCCGGAGGCAGATGCTCAACCACTGAGCCACTCAGGTGCCCCTGGCCTGTTACTTTCTAGACAGGCATATGAACAGGTGTATTTCTGTATTTGAAGTAAGAAAAGAGTACCCAGCATTTACAGCAGCAGAGGGCTTGCTTAATATGGTCATGTTGTTCTCTCAATTAATAACTGATGATAAGAGTAACAGCTAACATTTCTGAGCAGTTAATAGGTGCTAGGCATTCTCATTCTTATTAACTCATTTAATTCAGACTAATGTATGGTTTGTGTATTATTGTTATTACTCCCATTTAATGTTTGAAGAAACCAAGAAACAGAGAGGTTAAATAAATTGCCCAAGATCACATGGCTGTGTCCTTATAATATATTCATATATTATTTTATAGATGGCAAAATAGTTGTGATTAGTAGCATGTCTATAAAATGCGACCATAAAGTAATTTGATTATGGAATCGTAACTGTACTTGATATTATGGTTCCATATTGACCAGAGCAGAGGCTGACAAACTATACTTGTCCTGTTTGATGTTGTGAATAAAATTTTATTGGCATACAACCATGCCCCCTTGTTTATATATTATCTATGGCTTCTTCCTTGCAACAATAGTGGAGTTGAGTTGTTGTGACAAAACTGTATGGCCCATAGGACCTAAAATATGTACCATATGGCCTTTACAGGAAATGTTTACTCATTCCTGAACTAGAATATAGGAGTCCTCCCTGCTCACTGTCATTTGTGTCTCACTGGTTACATTTTCACTGGTCTTGCTTGGACTTGAGAACTGGGCCTTCTTGCAGGAGCTCTAGTGATGCACAGAATCAGTGTATGAACCTTTGGAGACATGCAAACCCACTTTTGACATGCTCTTCAGCCTCCTGAGAAAACATATGAGTGCCACTGTTCATTATGTGATTATAAAGTCTTGTCTGTCCTTGGTGAACACAAAACTGTCTTTTGCTTGTGAGGGTCTTTTCTTCATGCCCATAATTCTATAAAATATATTTTAAAAAACATTTTTTTTTCATGTATTTGCTCTCTGTGGGAGAAATGTGTTATTTGACATCAGAGAAATCTTGTTTTAAGCCCTGATTTTGTTACTACCTGCATGACCTGACTTCTTGAAGGCTCAGGTTTTTCATTTATTAAATGGGAAAATAAGAATAATCCTGCTCTAGGTTGTTGTGAAGATCACATGAACAATGTGCACATTCCACAGTGGTGTAGAAACATTAATTATGATTTCTGCCATTGGTAGGGGCATCTTTCTCTGTAGGAGTGGCTAATCCATTTTAAGTATGTGTGCCACAAACATTGGATGGGATGGCTAAAGAATGCCTGTGAGCAAGGAGATGAACCCGCTTCTACCCTGTCAGTGGCTTCTGGGCAGTCTGGGTGTTTGTACCAACATTCAATGCTACTCTAGCCAGAGCTTTGAGAAGCCCTATAGGAGCTTGGCTGAGTCACAGCAATTTACAGGGCAAAAGATAAAACTTGAAAGGCTTTTTTTTTTTTTTTCCTCTGAACTGACCTCCCTTTTTCTTAATTCTTATTTATTTATATGTATATCATGGATGCTATTCTGGAAACTTTGTTCCAAAACAGAGTAGTGCCAGTCACAGGGAATCTGCTTCCCTTTAAGTAAAGAGTGTGACTAGTATAATTCATTATAGATTAAAATTTTGTAGCCAGAAGCCTGTGCTTGAAAAAATGGTTGGTGCAGAAAGTAGCAGAATCAGATTCTCCAGTTTTTTGTTAAAACGTTCTGTTTGTTGGAATTGAGCAGAAGGCTCACTGGCTCTTGTCATTGGGGTATCGACATTGATAGACCAGAGGAGTGAACGGTTTGTGATTCTCTGTCCTTGACGTTAGACAATGCAATGCTAGGAGCTGTCTTACCCTTATTCCTTGATCACAGATGAGTGTATTTGGAATGATTTGGCCCAGAAAAGTGGTCAGGGACATGGAGTTGTGAGTCAAACATTTTTCTCTAGGAATTCTACAAACAGAAAATTGACATCAATGTGAAAAGTTTTATTGACATGAGGACAAGAATACATTTCCTTAAAATTTTTTTGAGTGTAAAAATTTTCTGTTTCTAGATGTGTCAACAGGGATCATCTATAGAAAGAGGATTGCAGTCTGTCAGAATGTGGTTCCAGAAATTTTAAGGAAGGTAAATTCATTTTAAAATTTAATCAGATTTTGTGTAACATGGGGTGATTTTCACGTTGTCCTGGAAAGAGAGCATTTTCTGATGTGCAGGAGTATTAGAATTTTCCCATTTGTACCTCGTGGGAGGTACTCTGATATCTAATCTCAGTTTTGGCAGATGCCACCAGAGATAGTTTTTTTTCCATCTATTTCTGCTTCTCTTTTGTGGAAGGAAGGCTCTTAGTGGACATGGAGATGGCCTATAATTATTGTAAAGATACGTTGGACATTTTGTGTGAAGTGACCAGCTTTCCTCATCTGTCCATGGTTAGATATGACTCTTAGATAAGAATGATGAGAAGTGGGCAGATGGTAAATATTTAGTCTCATCTTCAGCAAGGAAGATAAAAACTTCAGTTTTTATTTCATTGTCAGAGAGTATAGTTATTTCAGGGAGTATAATGTTCTAGTGCTCTCTGTAATTCCTTTTGTGTGTGTTTCTGTAAAGTAATGGTGGTGATGATGAAATCTTCATGATAGCAAATTGTTTTCTCTCTTTGAAATTCTTAAGCATTCTGGTGGTTGTTGGAAAAGGTAAGTGGGAATTTTTAAAAACATTTCTTGAATCATAAAGGGATTATTGACAAGAGTCCTTTTAGAATCATTAGGAAATAAGAGGAGAGCATTTTGATGTGCACTTCTTAGTGATGTCTCAGATGGTTGTTTCAACTCGGAAGTGATTCTTTTTGTGATGGAGAAGCCAATTAGTTTGCAGATTTTACTGCTGTGCTGTTTGCAGGACAAGCGGTGGCTTCTATCACTTCCTGTTCATGCATGAAGACTGTGTCACATTCTTTGGAGGAAAGAAAGCTGATATGACAATGAAAAAGAACCTTATTTTATTTTCCACATGGTAAACTGTGTTACACTGTGTGCAGCAAATTATCACTGGCTTTTTCCACAGGGTGTGTACCCTGCCTTTGCCCTATATACACGCTTTGAATCTATTATTTAAAAAGGTGTTCAACTTTGTCTTGTATCTCAATTCTTAAATAATTTAAAGACACCTCTGACTTGTACCATGCTGCCTTTGTAGTTTCCCATGTCTCCTCCACCTTGGAAAACATACATTTTGAGGTATTGGACAGAGTTTACAATGAAGAAAATATTTTATCTGATATTGTCCTGCATGCGAGCCCATAAGTGGGCCCAATTAGAATACATCAATTTAAGAAGGCCATAACCAGCCCTAGAGGAGACATGAAGGAGGTTGGTAATTTGCTTAGTGTTTAGCAGTTAGGAAAATCAGGCCAGGGACTGTACAGCCTGCATAAATCCTGGGCCATTTGCATGTCCTCAGCAGCATTTAGGAAGGTCATAGTGTGTTTGATTATCAAGGACTCACAGCCATTGGTGAGCCATCATTGATATATCAGCATCACTTGTCCTCTTAATTATCCAAGACTAAAAGCAATTCTGGACTCAGTATTAATGTAGCTTGTCTTCCTAAATTGAGAAAGCCGTCCGCTCTCTGTTGGACAGGTGAGCATTTTAAAGGTACCTAGTATCCAGTTGGAAGAAGAATCATGGCTCAATCCTCAGGAAAGAAACATGGCTATACGGAGTCACTGCCTTACATGGACACAATATGCATCCATGAAGGAAGAGTCTGTCTTCCGGGAAAGTATGGAAAATCCAAATTGGTAAGATCACCTGTGTGTGTGTGTGTGTGTGTGTGTGTGTGTGTGTGTAGGTTGGGTGCAGGGATGCACAAATGACTGCATATATTAAAAAAGCTGTGATTCCATACTCATAACCTCTGTTTACAACTCACATAAGGTATGCATTATTAATTATTATTATTTTTTTTTAGAGAGTGCATGTATGGGCAAGTGAGGGGAGGGGCAGAGGGCAAGAAAGAGAATCTCAAGCAGGTTCTATGCCTGGTGCATGGGCTCGATCTCATGACCCTGAGATCATGACCTGAGCTAAAATCAAGAATTGGACGCTTAACCAACTGAGCCACCCAGGTGTCCCGCATTAGTAATTTTTAATCCTACATGTAGTTAATGAATAGATTTCCCTTTGGGGGAAAAATAACAGAGCTTGACTCTGTCCAGTCCTGGTGCCTCTTTGTCCTCTCCAGAGGCAGTGAGTGTGCTGAGGATTCTTCCAGACCTTCTAGAGATACTCTTACGTATTTACATGTGTACTCATAGAGCCTGTATAGCAAGGTTTTATATATATGTTTTTACATATATGCTTTCATTCTGTATCAGTCATTGTGCACTTAGGTTTTTTGCTTAATAGAACTTTATCCGTTTTGTTTATATAAAACCTAGCTTATTCCTTTGTACTGTTGCATAGTAGTCAATCCTATGATTATACTACATCTGTTTAGTTTTTTTTTTTTTTTTTTTAGATTTTACTTATTTATTTGATAGAGTGCACGTGCACAAGTTGGGGGAGGGACAGAGGGAGAAGCAGAGTCCTCATGAGCAGGGAGCCCAATGCGATGCAAGGCTTGATCACAGGACCCTGGGATCATCATGATGGGAGCCGAAGACAGATGCTTAACTGACTGAGCCCCTGTGTAGCCTTTTTTTTTTTTTTTTTTTGCTAAAGGTTCGGATGGTTTTCAGTTTATTACAAACAGTAGTATAGTGTTTGTGAAGCATGTGATCCTCACATATACTATATGAGAATGTTTCTCTAAAGGAGTTTTATTTTTTAAAAAATTTTAAAATATTTTATTTATTTATTTATGAGAGACACAGAGAAGCAGAGACACAGGCAGAGGGAGAAGCAGACTCCATGCAGGGATCCCCATGTGGGACTTGATCCCTGGACCTTGGGATCACGCCCTGAGCCAGTGGCAGACGTTTAACCGCTGAGCCACCCTGTTGTATGTATTATTACATACAACAAAGTTTATTCTTAGTGTACAGTTCTATGAGTTTTGGCTTAGTTGTGTAAACACTGTCACTATCAAGCTTTAGAACATTAAAGGAAGATTTTAAAAAGCTATATGCCAAGGTTATTTAATGAGAAAGAATATCCTTTTAATAAATGGTGGATATCTACAAACAAAAGAATGAAGTTGGACCTCTACCTCATACGGAATAAAAAATTAATTAAAAATGGGAGCAGTTCATATTAACATACTTAAAATTTTCTGCCAATGTAATGGGTGAGAAATGATGATTCCTTCTGAGATAGGCTTAAAAACAAAAGCAAAATATAACAAGCGCCAAGTGTTAGTAGTGATTATTGCTGTGAGCTCTAATTTCAGAGGATAATGTACTGTTTTTTGTTTCTCTGTATAATTTGAATTTTTTATTCACTTGTCATTTTAATGGAAATAGTAAGACTCTCAAGCTCAAATAACTAAAACCCCCAAATTTAAAATCCATTCTGGAGCCCCATCACTTGTACAAATCATGACTGCTCCCCACAATTGGGTCTTGAAGTGGCAATTCCCAGATGCTCCAGCAGCACACTGAAGGAGTGTGAAAGCCACGTCTTACTAGCCTCTGAGGCTGGTTTGCCTGGAACCACCTACTAGTGGCTTTTCCTTAGCCTCTCCCGTGGCAGGAGCTTCACACAGGACACGGGTGTTTGGCATTAAGTATTGAGACTATGGCCAGAGAATAGGGGAATCTTTTGTTTTTTGGGTTTTTTTTGTACATAGAAGTAGTAAAAGGACAGAATTGTCTGTATAAAATCTGATTTTTTGTGAAACACAAAAGTCTTTCATATGCGTGGTTTTAGCCTCAGTTTTCTCAGAGATCCTGGCTATTGGCTAGTCTGAACTGGACCTTCACCAGTGAAATGTTAAGTGATAATTGGCCCTGAGAATCCAAGGAAAATATCCTTCAGGACCTTTTTCCTTTGTGTCATTTTTAGAAGATTATTTTTCCAATATTCTGATTCTGGAAAATACGGTACATATGTCTTGTATTATATATATTAAACACATATTATAATCTTAAGCAGTTCTGGCGGGGGAACCCCAGTTTTCATTACCTAGCAATAGTGTCTATTCACATAATTTTCTTAGTTCATTCCTAATTGGTATTTAGATTGTTTTTGCATTTTTTTGCTATTACAAGTAACACTGTAATGAAATCCCTATTATTATGTATTTCTGTAGTTCTTCAATAACCTTTTAAGGTAGATTTCTGGGTCAAAGGTTATGTGTATTTTATAGTTTGATTTTATTAGATTGTTCTTTAAAAAGGTTTGGCCAATTATATTTTTTCTTTCTTTTTTTTTTTTAAGATTTTATTCATTCATGGGGGGGGGGGCAGAGGGAGAAGCAGGCTCCATGCAGGGAGCCCCATGTGGAACTTGATCCCAGGACTCCAGGATCACGCCCTGAGCCAAAGGCAGGTGCTCAACCGCTGACCACCCAGGTGTCCCATACTTTGTTTGTTTCTTTGATTTGTTATGTTTCTCCCAAACATTCTTTTAGATTTTTGACACAACAGGCCAATATTTATTGACACCTACTGTATCAAGGTCAAAGCTAGATCCTTCCCCTGCAGAGTTTTTTGTTTTGTTTTCAAAGATTTTATTTATTTATTCATGAGAGATGTATAGAAAGAGGCAGAGATATAGGCAGAGGGAGAAACAGGTTCCCTGTGGGAAGCCCGATGCAGGACTCGATCCCAGGACCCCGGGATCACAACCTGAGCTAGAGGCAGATGCTCAACCACTGAGCCACCCAGGCACCCCTAGGCAGACATTCTAAATGAGTGGGTAATCGTGGGGGAACATCAAGGAAAGGACATTATTTCTTTCCCCTCCTTTGCCAGGGAATATGAGGATGATGACTACCTATACACCCAGAAGATGAAATATGGACTGATTATTTTTTTTTTTTTAAAGAGAAAAAGCTGTCACAGCTGTTGAATCTAAAATTAGACTCTCAAGCTGTGCTCTGGTTAGCAGGTGTGGGTATGTGTTGGGAAAGCAGATGTCATTCTGTCCCTATGCATGGCCTGTTGGCTCAACTCAGAGATGGACTCTGAAAGAGTTCCCTTCGAATCAGACTAAGCCTTGATCTGTGCTTTTTTACGTGGATCCAGTTTTGGCTTCCTGCTGATGTTTCTGTACTTGTTATGGCACCTTCTTGGGCAAGAGCTACATTGTAAGTTCAAGTTCCGTCAAGCGCACCAGCTCTGGGGCTGTAAGCTCCTCGGTTGGACAGTCATGGTTTTCTTGCTTGCCAACATCTTACATTCCAAGATAAATTTATTAATTTCTTACTATTTTGTGTTTGGTCCTATTTTTAAAAATGTATTTATTTGTTAGTTTCTGGTTCTTTTCCTTAAAATGGATTTTTACTGTACTGTGTGGGCATGCAATTGATACAAATTTGATTTGGCTTTCGTGATGGTTATTTACTTTAAGCAATTCAAAAAAGATAATCATCTTGTAAAAGTATTTTCATGGGCTTTTTTCTCTCACCACACCTGTATGGGTTTTGTGGTCGGCAGTAACTACTCTGTTATCTTAAAGCAAGGTTTTATTTATTACTGTTAGTGGAGACCTTAGTGCAGACTCACTGTTCATGCTGTTGCCCAGCTGGCTTTCTTTGGCTTTAGGTTAACAGGATCATTCCCCGATGCTCAGTGGTGAGATTCTTAGTGGCCTGTGTCTTTACCCATCCCTGTGGAACAGCTCTTCCTTATTCATCAATGCTTATAAACCTTATTTCTGAGATTTAAAATGTGCAGCCTAGTAGAGTGTGGGCTAATAATGTTGGATATAGTGACCTAACATTTATAGAATATCAAATTCCTTCGGAAATGTAGGAAAAGAAACAGAAAAGCCAAAATCAAACCTTACACCCATATTAAATTAACGGGTTGAACAACCGTTTTTAGTTCAATAAATATTCATTATAATTGAAGTTACATGTATGAATATTTTTGATCCTAATAAGATGTACATTTTTTATTATTTTTCAATTTCTGGATTAAAACATCCCAAGTCTTGACTATTCATCTGGTGAATCACAAATAGTAAAAATTGCATGTTTTAAGGGGCTGATGGTTGGGCATTTTTTTTTTTTTTTTGAGTGTGTGTCCATGTTTTCCTTGTTTTGAAACCTTTATCCCTCTAGTAGCAAATTTGACAGTTTGGTGACTTCCATGTGTTGGGCACTAGCCTTTTTGGTTGACCTTCACATTTGCTTTCACTGAAATATTAGAATATTCTGGCTGTGTTAACTTTACTCAGGAATTACTTCTGAGCCCTATTCCTGACAGTAAAGGGCTTAAAAGGTGTATTATCAACTAGCCCAGATAAATTCCAAGGTATTCATCCCCAAACACGACACCCTGTTACTTATGTTGATCTTAATTTCCAGGGCACCAGTGGGGTAGTTAGACAATTAGCAGAATGCATTCCTGATTATAGGAAACTGAGCAACAATGCCTTTTCTGTGTAAATATGACATTTCGCCAGGAGTCTTATTTTTGACTCAATAAGATGACCCTCAAAAAGATATTCATAAAAAAGATATTCATTTGCTTTTTATGTTTGTGTTCATATAATCAGTGTCTGTTTTCCTATCCTCCTGTATCCTCAGGATGTAGCACAGTGCTCAGATGCCTGCAGAGGATGCTCTGTGCTATTTGTTGACTGAATGGCAGTTTGTGCTTCTTACAGGTGAAATGGGGATAAGGGAAGTGAA